TCAGACTCTTGGCCATGGATGGCGGGGCCTCAGGGCTGGAACCGGGAGGGGCCCCGGGCTGGGGCTGGGGACTAAAGCCCAGGGGATCCCTGCCCTGTCCGGGCGCCCAAGGGCCCCAGGGATTGGAGTGGGGCCTGAGCCTCTGCATTTCTAATAAGCCCCACGCTGCACCCTGCTCTGGGACCACACTGACTCGATCAAGGGTGGGCCGAGGTGCCAAGCTGTCTGGGTTTGAACTTGGCCCGCCCGATTAGCTTCAGGTGTGGGCAAATGAATTCCCAACTCAGGGAGCCTTGGTGAAATGCCAGCCTTCCCGAAAGCCTCAGCAGGACCTTTGTCAAGGAGGCAGCTGTGGGGACCGAGACTCTCGAGTGTCCGTAGAGTTGGTAGATGCCAGAGTGCTTGGTCGGTGTTAGCTATGGTGCTATTATTCTCAAACACGAGGCTGAAGAATAGAAGCTTTTTTGCTGAGGATAAAGGGTTGCTGTTGAGGTTTAAGCAGCAAGAGACCTAACTAAAGTATCTTTGAAAAGACTTTCTCTGGGGAGGCTGGGAAATGAGTGGGAGGGAGTGGAGGCCTCGGGGCAGCGCTGACTTCAGGCCTGTTACAGGGTGTGGAGCGAGAGGCCTGGGAAGTGGTGGTGGGGACAGAGGGAGAAGAGGCCCGGAAGGTTAGCAGCTCAGGGGAGCTCACCGGAGGGGGCCCCGGGGGCCTGGCCTCGGGCCCAGGCTGGCCCGAGCCACAGGGAAGCTCTGAGCGTGGTGAGGGCTCCGGCCCCCTTGAACTACTGCCGTGCGCCCTGCCGTCCCACCCTGGGACAGACCCCTCAGGCTTCCTGCTGTGTGCCCGCCTCCTCTGCCAGCCTCACCCACCAGGGCTCAGGAGGCAGTGCTGCTCAGAGGAGGCAGACCTCCCGGGCCCCTCCCTGGGCCACCTCCCTGGGCCCCACTGGGAAATGCTTCCCAGCCTCTAATTTGTGTTAGCAGCAGTGTGGGGAGGAGAAGACCAAAGCAAACATTGTGTTCCAGACTTCTTAAACACTTGCTGGCAGGCCGCTCTGGGGCCAGCGAGATGAGGAGTAAACCCAACTTCTTGCTAATTCCAGGACGGCGGGGCTGGGCGGGTAAGGCAGACGCCTCTCGGCAGGAAGTTCCCTGGCCACGCCCGCCCACGTGTGGCCACCCAACTTGTGGGAAACTGTTCCTGTCAGGTGCTCTCTGCTTTCCCGGAAACGCCAGCGGCCAGCTGGTAGACAGCGGGCCAGGATTTCCACCCATTGTCCGAGGTCCAGGCTCGGTTCCTTCATGGTCCATGTGACAAATACCATATTTTTCTGCCAACATCTTCTCCATTTCTGCCATCACATCCGTAACTCAGGAGTGGGGGTGGGCTCCCTGCCCAGCCTGGGGTCGGCCGCCTGGGGCTCCCTCCGCCCCCCTGCTGGTGTCAAGGTCCTACAGTCACCAGGCTAAAGGCGTCATTTGCGCTCAGACCCAACATAAAACAGCAAAGAAGCTGCCTTTCTCTTGGTGGTTTGCTTCCACAGACAGCAGGGCCTGGACCTCGTTTACAAATTTATAAATAATACGGCCTGGGCAAGCAAACGTGACTACGGGGCGCGTGTACCGAGGCTGACCGGTCCGGAGACTGCACGTGCCGAGGGGCCTCCCGGGCGAGGGCCCACAGAAAGACAAAGCTCCAGTGACCTGAGGAAAAGCCGCCTCTCGCTGGTCCAGGGACCAGTCACCAGCCACTGCCCTCGGGCCACGCCCACACTCCTTGGCCTCAGCCCGCTTTTCCGCCAGCAGTGGAGTTCAACTCCTTTGTCGTCAGCCCGAACGAGCTTACTCCCCGGGCCTCCAGCCAGAACCTCCAGACCGCCTCCCCTGTCCTCACTTAGGAGGCCGGTTGAGCGGGCCCCGGCCACTCCTTACCCCGCGGCCGGCCTGGCTCCGACACACACCTGCACGCACCACAGCGCCCCAACGCGGCCCCCCCCACTTTACCTGGGTTTTGATGCTTCTGCTGCCCGCTTCCCTACTGAACTTTGAGTCTCCTGCAAACCAAGGCCTCGGACCTGCTTGTTGATGGCACAAGGCCAGTAGCACAGGCCCCGCTCTCGCCGGAAGGAGGTGTGCGGCCATGCGAGGGGACTCTGAGCAGGGCCAGAGAGGTGCCCGGGCTCCAGGAGCAAGAGAACTGTGGTCCTGGTGCCTGTCTTTTCCCTCGCGTCCCTCACATCGTCCTCCTCTCCCTCCTCCAACCAACCTGCTTTCCTCAGGTTCAGAAAGCAAAACATGGCCACGTATCTCCCAAGCCGATGGGATTTACCTCAGCCTCCTGGGGATCCTTGAACTCTCCAAGTCCCAATTCCAAAACCATCTGGAAAATTCTCTGGCTGTCTTGGCCAATCAGCCACCTCAGGGACACCCTCCTGCTGTGCTCTTGGCGGCTGAGGGGAGCCCTGGAAACACTTAGGTGAGGCAGAGGAGAAGCAGGTTCCAGAAGAGTCGGCACAGCACGCCCTCTGTCCAAACAACTCATCCCCCTGCCCAGCCCTGACTTCAGCGATCTGACCTGTCTGCGAGTCACGGCGTCACTCTGCAGGGACGTGTTGAAAAGAGCAGCGCCGGGTGGAGCGCCCTGTGTCCCTCAGTCCACGTTCCCTTGCGGAGCGATTTCTCTGCCCAGGAACCTGATAACGACTCACCAGACTATAGCTCGGCGGGACATGAGACGGCCACGCCTACAAGTGCCACGTGTGGACATGAGGAGCCTCACGGAAGATGCTTAGATCCACCAGACAAACAGGAAACGGTGACACGCAGGACAGCCCTGCGCAGACAAGCAGAGAGGGGGTGCGGGGTCACTGGCTGCATCCGGGTAGCCCAGCAGGCAGGTTCTGAAAGGGGGCTGTGGCGGAGGCCAGCCTGGCCCTCCACCTCTACGCCAGGAAGGCCCACACACAAAGACCGACCTCAACGTGACCGGCAGGAGATTCGAGCCGGCCAGAGGTGGCCGGGGCCTCCTGCACCTGACCCTGAATGTGCACACAGATCAAGACGACAGCAGGCCACTGGTCTTTATCCCGGCCTCTTCCCTTCCGAAGAATCAGCCTGAGCATTGTGGCGAGCTGGTATTTTCTGTTCTCTGTGCAGCTCTACTAGGACCTTGCGAACTTTCTGGTCTCTTGATCTTGTTTGCAGTGGCGGGGGTGAGGAGTGTGGTCAGGCCCGGAGAAGGGGGTGTTTAATTTCCCTCCATCTTGGGCCCCCCAGCCCGTACGAATGTGGGCACAGAGAGTTAAGGTCTGGTGCCCCGTGGGACAGAGTGCAGTGACCTCGAAGAAGTCATGCTTGTGACTTGAGCAGTCACCTCTTGGCCCCAGTTTCCTTATCCATAAAATGGGGGCAAAGACAGCGCTAACTTCAAGGCTGCTGTGAGGACTACGTGAATTGACATGATAAAGCTCTCGGGACACAGTCACGCCTACGCTGGTGCTAGCTGTGGCGCTCAGTGACCGAGAGGAGAAGCGGTCAACACCTGCCGAAATCGAGCTTCTTCCTTGTTTTCTGCACCAGATTCAACGCCTGTGTCTCTTGGGCTCATGTTACTTCTTTCATGCTATCCCAAGCATCGCTGTTTTGTGGTTTTTTTTACATCATTCTTCATTTTTGTACAGCAAATGCCTTTTCGTTCGGTGTGACCCCCATGGTCACACCAGGTCACCCATGTGCCGTCACCGTAGTCCCGCGTGCTCTTCCGCCCTGTGCAATCATCGCTTCC